CTCGACTCCAACACTTCTATAAAACATATTTCCTTTTTCTTTTCTCTTTAATGCAATAAACGTTTTCTAGTCATGTTTATTTTTTTCTGTAGATACATGTTTTATTACAAACAACTATCATTCTCTAATAGCGAGAATCATCGCGCTGTTTCSCACCAAGTGGTGCAYCAGGCCKTTATCGAGCTTCTCCACTTCTCCCGGTTCGCTGCCACTGCCCTCGCTTCCTCCCACGTTCCAAATCCTAATAGCTCCCTTTCCTTTATAACTGTCCGACGCCATGTTGTTTTCGGCCTGCCTTTGCGTCTTCTTCCCTCAGGGGCCCATGTCAAGGTAATCRTCTCGTCGCTGGTCTTATCTTTCCTAAGTATGTGCCCTATTAATTGCCATTTCCGCCTCGTTATTACTTTACTTAGAGGTTCTGTCCCTGCCCGTTTAAGTAGTTCTTCTGTGCTAACATGATCTTGCCACTTAATTTCGAGTAAACTCCTTAAACACTTGTTTTGGAACACGTCAATTTCTTTATTAACACTTTTATTCATTTTCCATGTTTCACAGCCGTATAACAATACTAGCACCACTAGGGTCTTATAGAGCCTGAGCTTAGTTCTTCTTGTGATAATTTTAGATCTCCAAACTTTTCTTAACCTAATAAATGCACCTCTTGCCTTTGAAATTTTGTTCGTCATTCCTCCACCATCTTTGCATACTTTAGCTCCAAGATAAGTAAACTCCGCTGTTTTTTCAATGACTCTTTCATGTATGGCCTGGTTATTCCCTGTTGATCCTTTGCATTCATTTTCATTATCTTTGTCTTGTCTATACACCCATTTAATAAGTCCCGAGGTATTGTGTTCTCCGCACTTGACGTCAAATTTATTCTTTTGAAATTTTTACAATACAAAAGGAATTCAAAAGAATRAATTTGAYGTCAAGTGCGGAGAACACAATACCTCGGGACTTATTAAAAGGGTGTATATTCACTTTAAGTCCTAATCTCCCTTTTGGCTTCCGTGTCAATTTTTGTCGTTTTGTTTTGTAGCTGTTGTCATAGTCACTAGTCCTCTCTATTAACTATGCTGTTGTCTAGTGGGAGATAGAAGAACTATTCGTCCGCAAAATCTAAATCGTCTAATTTAGATGTGGATTTCCATTTGATGCCATTCTCACCTTGGCCAACTGATCTTTCCATGATCCAGTCTATCACAATCAAGAATAGGAACCCTGACATGTTACATCCCTGTTTAACTCCTGTCTTTACTTTGAACCAACTGAACGTTTCTCCTTGATCTTCAACAGCACACTCAAAATGCTCATAAAATTGTTTAACCATTTTGGTAATCTTTTCTGGGATTCCATATTTACTCATTACGTAATGTCCCCAACGTTTAAACCTTCAATTCAATATCATGAATTATAGGTTAGACACAATAAAAAGCTATTTAGGATCCTATGTTGGATTGATGGTACAACTATTTTAGTATAAACGTTTCATTTCTATACCCTTACTTTTTTGAGTAATTTCAGCTGTAAACTGTTGTGGACATTACATATACGTTGTGGACATTACATACCTTATTCTACTTAAATACAGCAATATGCAGAAATTATGATATTTTTGACTCATATTTCAAGTATGTATAAAATACAGTCGATTAACCAT